ATTTGTGTTTCATATCTCTGCTATCAATTTTAATTTAGCAGATTCCTCTGAGGTTTTTTTGAATAGATTTTTTATTCAGGGTGAATTAAAGGCATAATCTTAAACATGCTTGAGGTGAAATCTCCACTTTCTATGCTTTTTAAGCAAAAAGGCCAACTGTGGAAATTGTGCACTATCAAGCTATATGTGATGGGGATACCAAAGGCATTTAAGCTGATGCTTCTCTCAAAGTAATAAAGCAGACATTATTTTCTATATGTCTTCCTGTGAACCTTGTCAACATTAGCTGAAGTACTGTTGTTTTAATATTTTTCCTCATAAATTTAGTCAATCTTAAAAGTGTCTGCTGTTAAAAAACATGTTTTTTTATAAATATTTTGAAAAATTATAATCACTCATGACAAATACATGTCAAATTTCTGTGCTACTTAGATATGACTGTGTTATCATTAAATATTAACACTCATTAACAATGGTGCCTCATCTCACCCTAACAACATATACTAATGCATATTCAAAAAACACAAATAGATACATAAATAAAGTGCAAAATAACTGACACACATGTGGCTGTGCGACAATATAAGTTAGTAACAAAACAAATATTTCACATTTCTCAATATCATATTTATAATAATATATGATTATGTTAAAAATGCAGAAATATTGTCAACTTAATCTGCCATACAGAAATAACTAGATGGAATCAGAAAGCAAGCAACTTTAAGAACCCTATCTTACCCCGGCAATATGGTCCTTCTGGATCTAAGAAAAATCCTTTCGGGCATTTGTTGCTTGGTGTGCCTGAAAAACATAGCCATGTAAATCCAGTGTTCAAAAACTTAATAAAATAGTAAATATACCTTAATCAATATTTTATGCATTTCATGTCATTGGTCTATTATCATATAATCATCATTCATTTTTTAAATTAATGAATGGAAGAGATTAATATGTGAAAGAGGGTTAAATTTCACAAATTATATTTGTATAAATCCTGTTTATATTATTCATTACACTATGTAAATCTTGTTGATTCAACTTTTTTAAACGCTTAAGACATTATTATTTCATACTGCTGCTTGCAAAATACAAACCAATTGTTTCTTATATTTCAAAAACACCTTTAGCATTGATATTAGTTAAAAGCTCTGAAGATATTTTATTACATATTTGCCAGAAATAGTTTAACATATAAAAAACTATGTGTATAATAATAATAACTATTATAATTATTTCGATGAGCAAAAAAGCTGCAATTGCATTATACCTTTGGCAATCCTTGCAGAAAGCTGATACCTCATCACCTCCTCGCTGGGTTCAAACTTCACAGTTAAATCATCCGCAAAAAGTTTCTGCACCAAATATGGCATTTTGCCAAGCTCTGCATCATATGTTATTGTGTGGTTCCAGGCATAGGGTATAATGTAGTTCCCTATTTTGAACATCCTTGTTGAATAAGCATAGATTGCGCCAGGAGCTGTCTGAATGTACTCTTCTTCGTAGGGCTCTACTTTGATGATGGCAGACGGCGGAAGCTGTGGGACATATCCATTGACTACAATGTCCAGCTGTAACTCACCATTGCTGTCCATTCCACGAGCTATGTGAATCATTCTAAGAATTTCACCTATGGAGTAGGAAAGAGAGAAGTAGAAGTAAATAAACATGAGATCAAATAAATTGGTAAATCAATGAGAAATACATAATAAAAATTATGTATATAAACTAACTCTGAAAAAAACTAGACAAATGTAACTTTAAAATTAAAACAAAATATGGAATGTTGGTAACAAAATTTAACTGGTCAATGTCACACCAGTAGAGGAAGAGCTCCATGAAGTTATGATATTGTTAAAAATTCCTATTCCTTTAAAAAACTGATACTCGAGAGAGCACAACACAGACCTGTAGAAAACTCCACTTGTACTTCTCTGCGGAACTCTCCCTTGGTAAGTGTGTATCCATTAACAGCCTCTCCTACCTCAAGAGCTGTGGTCCAATATATAGGGGTCAGAATAGAGATGAGATGCTCCATAAGGCGGCCTAAAATAAGACAGAAATATATGAATTGTCTGAAGACAAAATTTGCTAAAATTACCTAAGGTGTCTAGCAAGACACTGAAATATTAACTAGTGTACAAACAACTCTAAAAATTCTAATTAGCAAAAGTAGCACTTATCTCCCAAAGCTATGCAACTACTAGTGCATATAAATGTGACTGTAAAACTCCTTTGTTTACAATTCTCAACTAAATCCTTTATTACCTTCAATAACAATTACAATTTTCTACATTATATGCACTGTTTCATTCAGTAAAAGACCTGACAACAGTTCTCACCTATGGACCTTGGAATGTTGTGTAGTTTAGCAGTGACAATAGTTCCTGATTCAGATGGAGTGATGTTGGCAATTAGTGTTGATACTCCAAAGTCAATGTCATTGACATTGCCAATGATGTTACCCATAGCTTTTGTTGGAAGTCCACCTGAAACATTAAAAAAAATTCACAAAACATTTTGGATAGGAATAAAACATACTGATAAAAATCGCCTTTAATTATAAGACCCTAAAATATTCTATGAACTTGTTTTTTTCATATTTTCCTTACTATCCAGTATCAGCAGAGGAATTGTCTAGAATGTCCAGATATTCTCCTTCATCAGAGGTACAATATATAATATTATGTATATAACACATATATCAGCACAAGACCCCTTTTCAAATGTCCTCTGCCTTGACAAGTTTTTACCTCCACAAGACTTAATATTGCACTTCTGAATTTGTGTTTCATCTCCCAAGCAATGCTTTCCACCAAAACGTGGCTGTGAGCAGGATCTGGTACGTTTCTGTTCCCCACCCCCGCAGGTCTGTGTGCACTTGGACCAGTCACTCCAGCGACTCCATTGGCCATCCACTGTAATAACAGCATATTAAATGTGATAACACCAAAATACAAAATTGCAGAAAAGTTGTGATAAGTGTGAATATCTTATTTAATGCCCCCCCCCTCACCCAAAACAGAGAGTTTTAACTCAGATATACATGTATGATTATTGGTTTCAACTTTGTATCATTGAATCATCTGGAGTAAAAAGTATATATACAGCTGTAAAATTGCTTAACTTTTAAAACTTCTCATAATATCACTTATTTATAATTATATAAATAAATGATCAGTAAACATTGCTTTCAACTGTTCCATTATCAAAACCCTTTATTCACAATCAATCATTAGAACGAAATTCCTTAACAAATGAGACATGGTTTATTAAGTAGTTCCATATATCAAACCATTCCCATTGTAAACATAAAAACACATCCCAACTTGGTCTACTTTACCTGGGCACTCCACTTCATTACACCTCTCTGCCTCTTCGCTATTTCCTGGACATGCTCTACCGCCATTACTAGGGGCTGGGTTGCCACAAGTACGGAACCTCTTCTGGTAACCACCGCCACACTCAGCTGTACAGTCTCCCCAGCCACCCCAAGGGGACCAGTTACCATGGACTGAATATGTGAGGGAAATCATTAGCAACTTTTCTCGTGGTATGCATTAAGAATTACAGAACTTTAATAGAGTAAAAAATAAACTTTCTTGGAAATTTCAACACTACATAAATATGTTTAGAATTTGAAAGCAGGTTTATAGATAATACTTATATGAAAATCTTTGGAGAGAGTAGATATACCTTACATTCATACATCTGCTAGCTATACTCACTTGGACAACCTTGTGTATTGCAGTAGTCAGTCTCCGTGTCTCGACCCAAGCAATATCGTCCTCCATAACTTGGTGCAGGAGAGTCGCAGCGCCGTGACCTTGACTTGGTTCCACCATTACAGGAGCGTGAACACACAGTCCATGGTGCCCATCCTCCCCAGTTACCATGAACTATGAGATATAAAGTGGAGATTTGTATGGATGGACATCAAATTATTACATTTTTACTAAGTTAACTGAACTTGCTAAATACATATTTTTCTTTTTCTTTTTTTGCTGGTTGGACTCTTAACCATTACAACAAAACCTTTATAAGGAAAATGGAGAGAACACTACAAGTTACAATTGTGCATTTCTGTTTACTGTACCTACTTAAGTTAAATCATTTAACCAACAATTTTCTCCAGACTTATTTAGGAGTGTAAAACCAAATCAATCAACAAGAATTTACTCCTTACTTTCACACTCTCTGATCTTGCATCTTCTCCTCTCCGTCTCATCTCCGACACATTCCTTCCCACCATGCTCTGCTCTGGGAGAGTTACAGTCACGATAGCGCTCCTGCATACCAGTGCCACAAGTCTGACTACATGGTTGCCATGGTGACCATGAGCTCCAATCACCATCAACTTGAGAACAGAGAAAAAAGGTAAATAAATATATTTCAGTCTTGTATTTCTAATAAAATTTGTTATTTGGAAAAAAAGTACTGTATTAAAAGGTTCTAGTAAAGTCATTTGCATTTTAAAAGTATATCAAAATAACTGTATCACACTATTTTCTCATGTCAAATGATAGGTTCAATCCAGTTTTGACTGTTTTCAAATACTTCAAACTAATATATTTTTCTCTTTTGGAAGTACCCTCTTCTCCCTTTTTACCTCTATCCCTCCCCCCCCCCCCCCAAAAAAAAAAAAAAAGCCCCCCTCTGCTCCTCCCTGGTCCCTAAGAGCATCATTACCAGGACATGGCCTAAGACTGCACTCCACTCTCTCTTTGTCATCCCCAAAGCATGACCGCCCACCAAACTGAGGAGGCGGGTTGTCACAGCGCCGACTTCGCTGACGATATCCAACACCACAAGTGGCACTGCAGCTCTCATACTGACTCCAGTTGCTCCAGCTTCCATCAACTGAAAAAAATAGATAAACTAAGATTTAACAATAGCAAATTTTCAATAAGTACAACAATGACACAATACTTGCTTTAAATTCTGCATTTTTGTCAGATCCAGCTTTGAAACTTTTCATCTCTCCTTCTAGTTCTCTTTTTTTACACTGATTGTTTTAAGATGGCCACCATGCCCAACTTACAGAAAATTTGAGCTGTATTTTTCTTACCTGCACACTCCCTGGGCAGACACCTGCGCGACTCTCTGGTCTCTCCAACGCACTCTCTCCCTCCATTGGCTGGCTTGGGGTTGTCGCAGGCACGCTCTCTGTACATGATCCCCTGACCACACGACACACTGCAGTCACTCCACTCAGACCAGCTGCTGAACATACCATGGACTGAGCAAAACAGAAGCAAAATGAAGGCCTGTAGTTCGCAATTTCAAAAGGTGTGTGTGTATATGTGTGTGTGTGTGTGTGTGTGTGTGTGTGTTGGGGGGGTTAAATATAGGTGGAAAACATTTTTAGAGCCTTAGTTGACCAAATTTGAGAAAATGGATAGAACTTTTGGATAGAAATTGGATGGAAATTTAGATTCAGACAGCTAAAAATGACAAAAGATGCTGAAATTCTTCAGAAATCATTTGAGTCTTGATAACTACTGTTTACATACCTACAACAGTCAACTGTGCTTGTACCAATGCTCTTCCTAGTGGATTCTTTGCTAAACATGTGTACAGGGCAGAGTCTTCTAACTGAGTGGCTACAATCCTGAAGTATAAGACAAAATACTGGAGTTAAAATTTTCATTTTTTTTTTCACAGGTAATAGTGTCAAATTGATGCATTATTTTAAAAGACAGCATCACGTATAAATCAGCATTGACTTTCAAAACTTTTTCATTGTACCTCAAAGAATTATTTTGCAAAATAGTAATCCTATCATGTGTGGACAGCACAGTTTGGTAGGGAGTCTCTCTCTTCCAGGTTATTTCAGCTGCGGGTTCACTTTCAGCCACACAGTCCCACACCAGTGTGGCACCCTGGTCTATCTTGATGTCCTTGGGCTCTAACTTGAAATCTGGGGCCTCTGAATGAAAAGATATAGGGGAAACATGCAGAGTATCATTTTTCAAAATTAAAAAAAAAGTTTGCTTACTGCATTAAATAATTGCATAAATGGTAATAGGAACTGTATGAATGATGGTAATAATGTAGTAATAATGGTTTTTCCACTACTACTACCAGCACTTTTTATAATAATAATAAGAAGAAGAAGAAGAAGAAGAAGAATAGTGATGCATTGTAAACAAAATGAATACTTACTCCTTATTGTGATAAATGCACTGCTCTCAGATGTTCCTGCATCATTTGTGGCAACACACTTGTATTCTCCTGCATCAGATGTCTGGTATAATAGGAGACATACATGAGAAGTTGTTAAATTTATTGCATCACAACTGAAGTCCTAAAACTAAAATTAAATTGAAACCTTCAGTGTTTGAGGGACTTTGAAGTCTAAATCACAGCACTGATCAACACATATTTTTTTTATTTAATAAGATTTCTTATGATAAATTTTTTTAATGAATAAGATTTCTTAATGTTTTCAGCCTTATTTAGGAGAGCAACTCACAGTAGAATCATAAATAATAAGAGAGCCATTGGACAGCTGCTGGACCCTATTGTTTAGCTGGACGGGGCGGCCATTCTTGGTCCAGATAATGGTGGGTGCGGGGTCACCGCTGACTGGACAGGACAGTATGATACGCTGGGCAATGGTCACTGCTCTGTTACCAGGGGGCAGCAGTATCTTTGGTGGGACTGAAAGAAGAGAACGAAATTTTGTTCAAAATTTTTTTAATGCATGCTTAGGAAACACAGCAATGGCATTAACCTATGTATAATTATGAAAATTGTTGGGTCAGCTGCTGACTGATTATTTCATAATATCTTTAAAATACAGGGTTTTGTATTATGTTACTATGAAAGGCAAGCCACATAATTAATGCACAACACTACCAGTGATTCAACAATTCATGAATAAAATACACACATTCAACAAAATCACTGATGCTTCTCTGATCATAAACGCTTTGTCAGAATAAAATGAAAACAAACTGTTTAACAACAACATTAAATCATTATTTTAATAATCAAAAAAATCAAAATTTTCTTATTTTCATTCACCTTTGACCCTGACAGCTGCCACAACTTTCCTTTTCCCTGCTGGATTCTCTGCCTCACATGTATATGTGCCATCATCATCTTTCATGGCATTATCAATCACCAAGCGACTTCTACCGTTCACACTTGGTGCAGCTGAAGTGGAAAGAAGGAGAAAAAATTGTACACAGAGTCCATACTGGCAAAATGATGTTAGTGTACATGCAAGCATTAAAATATGTATATAAATTCTTATGGCAAAACAGGGATATTGATATCAGAACAAAAGACTGAAAAACTAAATGTCAACAAAAAATAAGATTTCACATATCTGCTTTAATTTCAAAAGTAGATGTCAATAAAATTATTTTAGGTGTTTTTTTAGGTGGTCAAGAGACAGAGAAAGAATTGATCAAAAATTCAATGATACCATTATTACCTGGAAGATAAGATCCGTTAACAGACCATGTCACGACTGGAGTAGGCATCCCCACGGCCTCGCACTCTAACTGGATACGTCCACCTGTGGTCACTTCTTGGTCCTGGGGGATCACCGTGAATGATGGACCAACTGGTAACATACAAATATACATGTTAGCTAGTCTTATAATGTTACAGTGTAAGAATCGACTGATATAGAATACTAAACATTCAAGCTGAAAACATTCTTGTAGATCATGAAAGGTGGGCAAACTGGTATCATGCAAATATACATATTAGATATAATAACAATTATAACAATGATTTATCTATCAAAAATATATAATATAAATGACATGATGTTATAGATATTAAACAAAGATATGGACTGATACACATATATGGTAATTCAAAGAATAATTTAAATATGCTTAAATTACTACAGGCTATATATTGAACGAGTCATAGTTAAACTGAAAAATCTGCACGCGGGTTTTTCATCAATGTTTGAAGTCAATTAGCATAAAACTTTTAATGACCTGATTACACAACTATGTTTTTTAATTACTGATTGTGGTTCTTGTCAGTTCTATTTCTATTATAGAAAATCACATACTTTGTACTCTGAGGAGTACTTCTCTGGAGTCTTTGCCAGCTTCATTGTCAGCTCTGCATACATAACTGCCTTGGTCTTGTTCCTACAAAGTTTGTGAAATGTTTATATTTCATCTACCTCTTAAAAGGATAATTGAAGATGTGTTATTTATTATAACTGCATATTCCAAATATCTCATTTGGCTCTTCAGGGGTCAATTTCTGTGAAAGAGACCTCCCACACACACATACACAAATCACAGCAACAAAGACCTGTTACCATGTAAATTGAATGTTCCATACATTTAACATATGACAAATTACTGTTAACCTTGAACAAATAAAATGGAAAACTTTTTTAGTTTAAGCTGTATTTAATGAGAATATATTGCTTATTGTGAATCTTTATACAACTTAAATTAACCAGTCCTAAAGTTTTCTAGATATGTGAAATTTACTCCACAAATTTTATCATCATTCATCATAATGTTGACTTATTTATTAATTATTCACATCCAGAACCATCAAAATATAACTATATATGTACCTTAACATTTTCAATCCTCAAGGTACCATTAGATAAAATCTTGTACTTTCCCTCCAGGTCTCTGACACCTGAGAAGTCTTTCATCCACTGGATCTGTGGGGAGGGGATTCCTTCAGCAACACACGGCAACATGGCCGTCTCTCCTTGGATGACCACAAAGATACGCTGGTCGCCAGTGATGGTTGGAGATACTACAAACACATTACATTGCTGTATTACATAGTGGTCTATTATGTTTGACAAGTAATCTAGGTAGAGGTGATTATTACATTATCTCTGCTGCAATTAAGAAACTATTGTAAACATACTGGTACCACTATTTAAGTTAATTAGTCACTAGTCCTATATTATAATCTTACATTATATACATCAATTTTTAAGTTAACTAGTTTTATGTATATGCTACTGAATGGAAACTTCCTTGAAGTTTACCTTGTACTACAAGGTCCATGGTGACTGATGCCCTTCCGGCAACATTCTCAGCTATACAAGTGAATGTACCTGAGTCCTGGGCTCTGAAATTATATAACACACATATCAGCTTTGCCTATCAAAGTGAAAGAGCACATATTTGTTATATTTTGACTACCACACAGTTAAAAATATTTCTGCTATAATGGATTTTAATGCAAAAATGTAGCAAGTGACAAATGTAGCATTTTGTACATTACATAACCAAATGAACAATTCTGATAAAGAATAACATGATTAAGCATTACTCATTACAGAGAGACCTACTTGGTGATGGGAATGGCTAGACCTCCTGATCTTATCTGTCTGAAACTGAAGTCTGTTGGGCTGATCTCAACTCCATCTTTCTCCCAGATAATCTTAGGTTTTGGTACTCCAATGGATTTGCATGGCATGATGAGTCCATGACCCTGAATGACCTTGAACTCTGTCTGCTGCTCTTCAATAAATGGGGGTACTGCAAAAAATGACAATTAAAATTGCAAGGTGCATTTAACACCTTGCTGCCAGCTTTTCTCTTTTTCTTTTCTTCTTTTTTCTACATTTTTCTTTTTAGTTTTCAAATTAAGTTTGTGATGCAAACATGTTAATGAGACTGCCCACTCATGAGATTTAAGTTCAAATTTCTCGTACAAAGCAGTTACCATTTAAGGTTACCATCTGGTATAATTTAATCTATCTAGAAAAATCAAAACAGAGCTTATACAGATGAGGGTTAAAATGAACAGGACTTTCCAGATTTTAATCCAAAAGTGAACCAAATGTTCACTCTGAATAAACTGAAAATAATTTGTGGGCTATGTTTGCCAGCTTACCCAATACTTCTAGTCTTGTCTGGGCCAGGATGGTGCCGGCAGTGTTCTGTGCTATACAGATGTACATGCCACTATCTGACACACGCGCATTCTCTATTTTCAAGGACCCATTGGAAAGAATCTCTCTGAATCCTGCAAGAATGAAATAACTGCATTCAATATAAATGAAGGCATAGATACTTAACAAAACTTGAAGCACAAGTTTGACTGTTTTTCTTTGTCTTTTCAAAGACAAAATTTTGCAGCACAATGTGCCATCCAGAAATGCAAAAATTTTATGCCATTAATTAACACAAATAAAATAATGTGTCAAGGGTATGGGCAAGGGAATGTTACGTATATAATAATAACAATAACTAGTTTGGGAAGGATGTTTTCATCCAAATATAACATAGGATCAGCTATATCATAAAACACAAAATTAATCTTAAAATTAACTTACCTATGGAATTTGTTTGAAGTGCTGCTCCTTTCTGCCAAGAAATTATAGGTTTGGGAGTTCCAGTTGCTTTGCACGGGAGTATGACAGTGTTTTTAACAAGAACCCGCTTTTCTTTCTCTCCCCGTTCAATACTTGGAGGGACTGAAATAATTTTTTGGTTGATTAAAAGATTTTCAATGTCAATTCATGATCTTGAAAACATGAAGATGCCTGCTTTTATGTGATTTCATTAATACTTTAACAATCAATATATCTCATTTCCATAACTGCAATAATAATAATAATAACAATAATAATAATAATAATAATAATAATAATAATAATAATAATAATAATATGTTGTTGTGGAGAAAGATATTTTCCTCTAGTTTCTCTTACCATAAACACTGAGGTTAATTCTCCTGGACACTTGACCTGCAGGGTTGCTGGCAGTACAGGTGTACTCGCCCTCATCTGCCACCTTCACAGCAGCAAACTCCAGGTTACCAGACTTGTGCATACGGTAGCGTAACTGAGCACCTGTGTCAAAGGACAGTTTTGTGCCATCTTTGGTCCATGTTACCTAAAATATGTATCAATGAATGGAGATTTCAAAGTGGAATTTCAAGGACATTGATAGATTATGCTAGGACATGATAGCCTGGAATAGCCAGCATAAGCAAATTAGTTATATGTGAAACAGAGATTTTTCAAATTAAGTAATAATAAAATCTATTTCTTCTGCATCTTGTTGCAGATAACTATTCTCATTAACTAAACATAGAAAAACATTTTTCCAAACCAGAGAAATCATGAATGTATAACAAATATGACAGCAACTTTGTCTTAGCAAATGTCGAAACATGCGGCCACGTCAAGTCATAATACTCACCTCTGGGTCAGGCAGTCCAACACTTTGACACTCTAATGTAGTCCTGGTATCTACAATAGAGGCAACCTCTGTCTGGCCATCTTCTATTGTTGGTGGAACTGAGAAAAGAAATCATAAAAAACATACGTAAATAAAAACTGAAACTACATTGTAGATCAGTGAAATCCCCACAAAAAATAGCTATATATAAATATACAATGAAACATTTTGTAGTACAATATTAAGGCCAACCATAAGCACTGCTGCTTGTAAAATTGCAACCATGGCTGGAGTCAATTACCCTGAACATCCAAGTCAAAATTCTTAATGGCTCTTCCTGCCGGGTTGACAGCGATGCAGGCATAGGATCCAATTTCTCGCAACTGCGCACTCAAAATCTGCAAACGTCTTCCGTTTTCATACACCCTTATGTTAGGAGTTCCCAAGGGTGAGATAGGGATACTTTCTCTCTCCCACGATATTCGTGGGGATGGAATGCCCTCTGCAGGGCACTTGATTGCAATTGGGCGATTGATGGTAACTGTAAGCTGCTCCAATCTTTCTGAACCGTTGATAGAGGGAGGCACTGGAGATAAAAAATGATGATTAAAATATTAATGAATATAATCACTTATAATCACATATCTGAAGTGTTTGTAGCATCATCAGTTATAATACTGTGAATGTTAATCATCCAGTCGTATGTAACAGAAATCAACAAGATTGAAAACTGTTCATCTGCATTTACAGTCGACTATATCTGAAGTTTCCAAGAGAAAGAAGCAATGTCATTGACTTCAGACTAGCATAAGGCTTTAAAAACACTCCTTATGAAAAATACCGATGTGACATCTTGGATTTTAATCCACCAAAAATTTAAAAACAGAATTTGAATTTAATAGTATACTTTCAAATATAAACCTCACCATAAACATCTAGAATGTAGTGTCTCTCGGCCATACCAGCAGGATTCTCAGCACGGCAAGTGTATGACGATGTGTCTTTTACCTGAGCACTTGTTATCTCCAGGACTCGGCCATTAGTATGGATGCTAATGAAACACATAATTAGTTTATTTCCAAACAGTTTATTTATTTATCAGAAAAATGGAATGAAATAGAATTAAGACAAATAGAATTTCATATAAAAAACAATGCTTAAGCACATCTGACTCCCAATTACATAATTCAAGTGGAAGTCAAAGTGTTAAGCCAAAGCTAAAACATATAAAAGAAACTCATATTTTCATTTCCCTTTGCTAAAAACTCTTCTAACCACTGACATAAATCTTACAAGTAGTGTTCAGTAAAACTTAACAAACAATATTTAAACAAACAAAAACCATATAGATAAAAATTAACTGTTCTTTTTCTTTAAAAAAAAAAAAAATTCCAACCAACTATAAATTGGACAACAAGCAAATGACACCTTAGTTTACTTACGTTATATGTGGATCAGCATCCACATTCATCTCCTCCCCTCCTTTAAACCACCTGATGGTGGGTGGGGGGATTCCCTCAGCAATACACTCAATGGAGATAGGTCTCTCCACCACCACATTCAGCTTCTGTGGTGGCTTGCCAGCATCAACTATCACTGGGGGAACTGAAATATAGCATGGATTTTGTTCCTTTATAAAAGCAAAATAGCAAATTAATTTCATTGGTATACTTGAGAGGTGTGGACGACAAGGGCACCATCTTCTCTTAAGTAATCTTATTATTTGTCAGACTAATAGAAAGTCTATGTCAATATGTTTGCATATCCTCTTTTCACAAAGCCCTGGATTCACATTTTAGTAAGTATTCACTTATCACATAAATGGCTCACATTTTAACCATTAAGAAATTCAATTTTTACCAAATCTTTTATTTTGAATGGGTATAATATAAATATTTTCTTCACCATCAACTATTTTCTTTACTTTCCTTAAATCTTATAAAATTTTAGGATCAGGACCTACCATAAACTTCAAGTTGAAACTTTCTTTCCAACTGTCCAGCAACATTGGTTGCAATGCAAGTATAGGTGGCAGCATCAGTCACTTGGGTGTTCCGTATCTGTAGTCTTTGCCCATTGGATGATATATCCAAGTATCTGTAGGGGAAGTCAAGAAGAGGTTCTCGGTTCTTCAGCCACAGGATAGAGGGTGGAGGAATACCAACGGCGGGACACTCAATGAAAACAGTGCGGTTTTGAATCACACTGAATTTTTTCAGCAACCTGCTGTCGTCAATAGATGGTGGCACTGAAGGATATTTAATGTCGGGTATTATTGCAGGAATATGATTTTGCATTTAAGTTATTCCAATCATAATTATCATAAAAGATGGTGTAGAGACTGTGTTCACAGCCATACTACCAGATTCATGTACATATTGGATTAAAACAGGGCAATGAGGGCACCTATATACTAAGTAAACTGATAGCCTTGCTCTTACAGCCTTAACAGACTGTAATTAACTTGCATTTTGAACCAGTTAGCCTCATGTTATTTTGATAAAGCAAATCATAGTCAGAATCAGTTTCCAAGCCTTACCCAGCACCTCCAGGTCATAATGCTGTCTCAGGTTTCCAGCCTCATTGCTGGCAATACAGGTGTATCTGGCCGTGTCGCTCTCCTGGGCATGCATGATATCAATCTGACGGCTATCGGACAATATCTTCACATGGTCATCCTGCTCTAGGGTGCGTCCATTCTTCAGCCATTCTACCTCTGGTTTGGGGATGCCCTTGACTGGACATTCTAGGATGACCGTTCGGTTGACGATGACCTTCGGGTTCTCCACTATGTTGGATCTGTCAATACTAGGTGGAACTGCAAAGATAAATTAGTTTACACTGAAAAATCTTAACTGAAAAAGAACTTGGATAAATGCATGTTTTCTAACAATTAGNTATTCACTTTTCACATAAATGACTCACATTTTAACCATTTTTACCAAATTGTTTATTTTGAATAGGTAAAAAATATATATATATATATATATATATATATATATATATATATATATATATATATATATATATATATTATCTTAAATATCAACTGTTTTCTTTACTATCCTTAAACCTTATAAATTTTTAGGCTTGGGACCTACCATAAACTTCAAGTTGAAACTTCCTTTCCAACTGTCCAGCAACATTGGTTGCAATGCAAGTATAGGTGGCAGCATCAGTCACTTGGGTGTTCCGTATCTGTAGTCTCTGCCCATTGGATGATATATCTAAGTATCTGTAGGGGAAGTCAAGAAGAGGTTCGCGATTCTTCAGCCACAGGATAGAGGGTGGAGGAATGCCAACGGCGGGACACTCAATGAAAACAGTGCGGTTTTGAATCACACTGAATTTTTTAAGCAACCTGCTGTCGTCAATAGATGGTGGCACTGCAAAATATTTAATGTCAGGTATTATTGCAGGAATATGATTTTGCATTTTTGTTATTCCAATCATAATTATCATAAAAGATGGTGTAGAGACTGTGTTCACAGCCATACTACCAGATTCATGTACATAATGGATTAAAACAGGGCAATGAGGGCACCTATATACTAAGTAAACTGATAGCCTTGCTATTACAGCCTTAACAGACTGTAATTAACTTGCATTTTGAACCAGTTAGCCTCATGTTATTTTGATAAGGCAAATCATGGTCAGAATCAGTTTCCAAGCCTTACCCAGCACCTCCAGGTCATAATGCTGCCTCAGGTTTCCAGCCTCATTGCTGGCAATACAGGTGTATCTGGCCGTGTCGCTCTCCTGGGCATGCATGATATCAATCTGACGGCTATCGGACAATATCTTCACATGGTCATCCTGCTCTAAGGTGCGTCCATTCTTCAGCCATTCTACCTCTGGTTTGGGGATGCCCTTGACTGGACATTCTAGGATGACCGTTCGGTTGACGATGACCTTCGGGTTCTCCACTATGTTGGATCTGTCAATACTAGGTGGAACTGCAAAGATAAATTAGTTTACACTGAAAAATCTTAAATGAAAAAGAACTTGAATAAATGCATGTTTTCTAACAATTAGTAAATCTATTAAAAAATTCAGTGACTTCAACCTAAAAAATTTATCTTTGCTTGCACCTGACAACTGGAAAGAGACATGAATTATATTTGGTACCCTGAACTTCATATCTGATGCATGTCACATATCTTTATCACTTATACCTAACACGTGTAACTGGAAATCCTTTTTAGCTTGCCCAGCAACATTTTCTGCTATACAGACATATCCAGCAGTGTCTGACTCCTTGGCGAACATGATCTCAAGCTGTCTTCCACCATTGAGGATGTGAATCCTGCTCGTCTCCTCGACTGTCTGCCTTTCTTTCAGCCAGGTGATGGTGGGTTCAGGGTGTCCCATTACTGGACAGTGAAGGACTGTGGTGTAGTCTTTAATCACCTTGTGGGAGGAGGAGAGCTCAGTGCCTCGTGGAAAGTATGGGGGGACTGAAAAATATTGGACAAAATTTTCTGTCAATCAAATGCAAGGACTGTCATAAATCATAGGTTTTGGTTATATTTTTGGTGTAAAAGCTTTTGAGTGCAAAAGTTAATATAAAAACACAAAATAACACTATCCATGCATGAATAAGAAATTTGCTATTAATTCACATATTCAAAAGGTCTTTCATTTATTCAATAATTCATCATGTTTTAAGGAAAAAAAAAAAAGATTTAATAAAACTTACCCCAAACGTCCAGTTCAAACTCCTGGTGTGCTCTCCCTGCATCATTCTCAGCAATACATATATACATGGCTTCATCCGAGACCTGTGCATTGGATATCTCCAACTGTAAACCACCTGCTAGAATTTTGTAGTACTCGCTGTATGTGGTGTCAAACTGCTGCCCATTGCGTAACCATGTGATCTTTGGTGTTGGAATGCCCTCTGCGGGACAGTCAATTACGATGGTGTTATTCACGATGACATTGGGGTCTGGATCAATGAGGGACTTGTCAATGGTTGGTGGGACTGAAAATATAATAACACTGACCTTAATACTGTTGAATCTGGCTCGTCTGCAAACAGGGAAAAATCATTTTAGTCTCCTCAAAATTCCCCATAAGAAATTAGCATTATGCTTTGATCCAACATATTTTCTGAAAAATGAGGATTAAATAGTGATGTACATGTTTTTTACATCATTTGTGACCTGATTTAAGGATTAATGAATTAAAAAGGAAAAAATGTAATTTATGGAGATTCTACTTGAGTTTGAATAAGTCACTTGTACACCACACTTTATCCATCTAAGTCTAGGAACAGTTTTTACTTTATAAAAAAAAATAAGTGTGTAGTATGTTTAAAAATCAGCTCTTAATGTTTTTAGGTTGAAAGTGAGATAAATGAGACTAAAGTCAATTATTCTTACCCCAAATCTGAACATCATAGTCTTGTTCAGCATCCCCGCCTCATTGACAGCTCTACACGTGTACCTGCCAGTGTCATCAACTTGGGAGTCACGGATCTCCAGGCGGAGACCATTCTCATGTACCTATAAAATAACAATAATCATAATAAATTTCTTAAAAAGTCACACTACAAATACATCTGTGTGCCACTTACATGTACATACAATCATTTACACATTAAAAAACATCAAGAATTTTTAATTAAAGGTAAACTTTATTAAACACTTTATAAATGAAAATTCAACAAATATGAAATGTGCCACAACTCAAGCATCACTATCAGATCACCAATAACGTACATACTACTTATTCTCATACATTCACCCCATTCACCTTCTGACCTTGCTTTCTTCATAATTTTTTAGTAAAAATTGAGATCACCTGTATATTTGGATTTTCAGACAGTCTGATAGGGAAGCCATCTTTCAACCACAAAATGTCTGGTGTTGGTATGCCAGCAGCAGGACAACTCAATGAAAATGTGTTGTTCACAATAATCCTTGGTTTTTCATCCACGCCTCTCTTGCCAATGTAGGCAGGCACTGCAATGGGGAAAAATCAAATTAAAAAATTACCAAAATTACCAAAACATACATTATAAAACTATAAAAACTTACATTCTAACTGAAATATCACTAAGGCAAACCATATTTTTAAAAAGTTGTTATCACTTTAAAACAAGGGCAACCAGACTGATATCTAAGACCAGAATAAGTCATTTTAGCCTTCTGTCATCTCATCTCAATTTTGGTAAACAGGTTCATTTTCTCACCTAAAACTTGCAGCGTAAAATCAGTGAAATCTTCTCCTGCTTTGTTCATAACAAGGCACCTATAGACTGCAGTGTCAGTGACCTTGGCCTTGCGTATCTCCAGTTGTCGACCATTGGACAGTGATTTTATATCAGGATGGGTCTTATAGTTCAGCAATTCTCCATTTTTCAGCCAGACTATTTCTGGGTCTGGGATACCATTGGCAGGGCAGCTGATGGTAATTGTTTGGTTTACAACCACCTTGGGCTTATCGATGATGTTGGTTTTGTCAATGTAAGGAGGAACTGGAACATAATTGGAAAACAGATCATTAGATGGGTGGTTCACAGTCATGAAAAATGGCTACCAGTCTCCTTGTTGGACAAATTTCTCCAGGATGTTGAATGATTTTTAATATGATGTATAACCATTCCAAAGTTACATTTTTCTTCAAACACTTCAAGCTAACATCAAAGTATTTTAACTCCAATATAAATTGCATTTGTTGAATTTACCCAAGATCAGCTGTTGTTTGAAGAAACTACCACTCAAACTCTGAGTGCAAAAAAGAGCTAAAGAAATTCTATGCTGGATATACGCATTCCCGACTCACCCAAGACTGTCAAATCAAAGTATTTTTCAGACTCTCCGGCAACATTTTTTGCTCTGCACTGAAAGCGCCCAGTGTCTGAGACCTGGGCCTGCCGCACCTCAAGTTGTCTCCCATTGGCCAAAATGGTCCAGCGAGATGTGTTTTGGGTGATCATGTTGCCATCTTTAAACCAGGCAATCTCTGGGATGGGGATGCCCGAAGCAGGACAGATGATGACAATGGTGCGATTCAGAACTACCTCTGGGACTGCCACTTCATCTGAGTCATCAATCTTTGGTGGAACTGAAACAAATACACTCATCTAATGAACCAAAGTTATTAAAGCTACTTGAGCTTTTACATGTATCAAGATAGAAACTGAATTGCTATAGTTTTAATTTTTGGCATACATTTTCTTTAAGAAAGCCATGAATTAATTGCTAAAAATAATTTTGTCACACGATCATGAGTCAACAATTCTACCAAAACATCCTCATCAGGAAAATATATAGATCATTGTTTTTCTCTAGTCACTAATTACCAGTGAACATTAATCCTAGCAGTTACAATTATAGGAGAATAGCTTTTTATTACATGTATCACAGGAATTCAATTCACAAATTTAACAATGTGCTTATGTCATTCCCACTTACCGTGAACTTCAAGCTTGTAGTTTCTCTTGGTCTCTCCTGCAACATTTGTGGCTTTACACTGATAATCTCCAGTATCTTCAACCTCTGCTGACAGAATACGAAGCTTTTTACCACCAAGAAGGACTTGAATGTTATCCTAGAAATGACAAAAATTAATCAATCAATAAATAATAATGATAAATAAAATCAACCAAAAGTCAGCTATGTTTCTGAATCAAATAGACACAAACAAGGCACCTATATTATTATTTACCTACATGTATTATGGCTATTTGTGAAAACTGAAACCATTTGTTTTCAGGTGCTGTTTTATCATTTAGAGCATGAAATACATGCACATGAATGACATATTGTTCATGTTGTTGGCAGAGCCAAAGGAAGTTTCATGAACTCCCCAAAATTCTGACTAAAATGTACTGGTATTGTACCTTAGATGGGTCCAGTACTTCTCCATCTTTGAACCACACAATGAGAGGCTTTGGTGTCCCAATCACAGGACAATCTATCTCAAAGGTGTCATTGACAATCACAGTGTTGTTCTTAGATGTGACCCTGGTTTCATCAATCCTTGGAGGTTCTGGAAAAATTAGACATATTAAATCAAATTAGACAATATGGTGTAAAAATGAGACTACGATGATCAGACCAAGTCATAGAAGTACTGGTGACAATGGATGATTATTCATAGTGTCACAGGCTGCTGTTTGGATTGTATGTTCCTCAGGAAAGAGAAAGCATTTCAGGATTGATCAGATCCAAAACAGACCAGGTATAAATTGTTAAATTGGCTGATCATGTTTATTGAGGATATAACCCTATTCACCTGTTATACGTGTGTAAACAACTACTATTAATGGTTATAAGAAATGCAGTAGTTTTTAATTGTCACCAAGAGGAAAATGAGTAATAAACCCCTCTGTTACATGACATTATATTAACAATGAACTCAAAATCCTTCATTTATATATATCCTCACCTTGTATTTCCAAGTCTATCTTCTTCTCCGTCTTTCCAGCAATATTTTCTGCCTGACACCTATAGAGGGCAGTGTCATCAAGCTGAGACTCAGCCACTCGTAACCTTTGACCATTGTCCAATAGGGTCAGTCTTGGCTCATTCTCAATGACCAGTGGAACATCAGCTTTGTACCATGTGATAGTGGGAGGTGGTATAGCATGGGTCAGGCATTCCAAGATGGCGGTCTGATTTATTATAACAACAATGTGAGGGTAGCCATCAGTGTCTTCACCATCTCCATAGCCAATTCTGGGTGGAACTAGAATTTGAAGAAATGTAGCACAGCAATTGGTAAACTTGTAACAAATATTGATCAAGTTCTACAATTAAACATGAACATATTTTGTTGCTTTTCTAAAAATTAAAATCTTGTACTTTATTTATGGTTCCAACAAGATTTTGCATGAAAATTTACTGAGTACCTCTTTAAATGTCCGCATTAATATCAAAGTACTCTGTTTTACTCTTAATTTCTCACAAACAACATTACAACACTTACCAAAAACCCTGAACTCGATAACATTACTAATGTTCCCAGCCACATTAGATGCCACACATTCATAACTGCCAGCATCTGACGCTTCTGCTCTGTCAAATACCAATGAACCATCTGCAAGGATCCGCACTCCAAGTTCATTTCCGGTGATCTCCTTGCCGTTTTTGTACCATGTGATCTTGGGCAGTGGTGTTCCCGTGGCAGGACATGGCAGCACAGCCTTCTGGTTCTCTATTATACTGGTGTTTTTTATTGTGTCTTCTGGGATTTGAGGAGGGTCTAGAGGAAGAAAAATGTACATGTTGATGCATTACCTAAATAACCAATAAGAAATTATATTATATCAAATTTTTACAAGCATTCATTTTAAGGTACTGAAATGATCAGATTTTGACATAAAACTGATGATATTGAACAGTTTCTGATAACATTCTAAATGTTCATAATTCTCATGTAAATAGTGGTATTTAGAAAAATACTTTAATTATTAATTTAAAATATTCAGCATTCTGATTATGATTATGAACAAACTCACCATGCACCACCAGCTTAACACTCCTGGTATCACTGCCTGCAGGGTTCTCAGCAATACATGTGTAAGTAGCTGTGTGTTTTACTTTAGTTTTCACAATATAGAGGGCACCACTTTCCTGTACAATGTAGCCATCATCTGCATCCAAGACAGTCAAGTCTTTTCCATTTTTACGCCACATTATCATGGGGTCTGGGTCTCCAGTTGCTTCACAAGGTAACGTGATATGATCACCTTTGATGACTATAAACTTTGAAGGGCCTTCAGTAATTATCTTGGGAGGCACTGAAAGAAATGAGAAGGAAATGTTGAGAACACTCACTTACACATGAAAGCACTGGAAAAACTATTTTTCAGGTTTTATTGATTACAGACACTAACAATAAATAATCAATCAAATTACAAGTAGTAGTATATGCTTTCGAATAAAAAAGCATTCAGCAAAATTTCAGATGTCTTACTATCCAAAGATATGTGACATATAACTGTGTAAGCTCACACTGCAATTTTTTTAAATATGAAAATCACACAGCACAAACTGCTTAAAGTGATAATAACTCTTCGTTTCGGCCAAAAAATGAATTTTCCTGGAGTAAACAACAATTTTCCCATACTTACCAAGGGTTAATGAATCCATTTTTACATTCAAAGTTAGTCCCTGGTTTTTTTCTAAAAAGTTTGGTTTTTTGTTAAAATCTCTTAAGAGATTTTAACAAAGTATAGCCATCAATGGAGGTCACGTGGTCTAAAGACAAGCTCAGATATCAGAATAATAGCTATAACTGCCGTTTTTGTGGTAAAACAGAATATATTATATTTCTATGAGTTATTCACAATGTTTTTATTGTGAAATATAGATCTCATACGAAGAGTTATTATCCCTTTAAGTAAAATACCATAAAATACTGTTAAAAAAAGAAAGAAAGAAACTAGAGTAACCTTGGACAACAAGCTTTATCCTTTTGGTGGCAGTGCCGGCTACATTAGAGGCTTCACATTCATACAGTCCGGCATCCTCCACCTGGGTACTGGGCATATAAAGACCATCCCTTCTTATCTCTATCAGCTGGTTAAGTCTGGACAACTCCTGTTATAACAAAATTATCATATCTCTAACCATCATGAGAATGACCAAAAGATTCACCCTGGATGTTAAATTCACATTTATTATCATCTTCTGAAAAGGCTGTTTAAAATTGTCAATGCCTTAAATAGCAAAAGAGCTAAACAGGGGGGAGGTAAAGGGGGTTTCAAGAAGTACACTTATTAACGTCCTTCAACTAGAAATTGTTTAACTGATCTGAACAGATTAGCAGTTAGGTTATTAAGTTTCCGAATATCCTAAATACAGACCAAAACCACACTTTAGGGATATAAAATCTGTATAACAGAATTATAGTGAAAACTTACCCCTCCATCTTTGTACCACCTGACTTCAGCATCTGGAATGGCATGTACTTCACACGGCAGAAGAACTGGATTGTTCACTTCAACGATCAATTTGTCCTCTTTACTCATTATCATTGGTGGGACTAAAAAGTAGGAGTCCATCATGTGTAATATATTAAAAAATTTTGGGGGGATAACTGGGGACTGTGCATATATGAATGATTTTCATTTTATCAGTATGCAGATAAATATGAGAGTCTGATTATATACTGTTCAGGATCAAAATCCAAAAATAGTTCTGGCAAAACTAGTATGAAATAATAAGCATCAATTACTTGTTACGAAATACTTTAAAATGAAGATTTGACAGATAAACAAGGCAGCAAAGCTGTCAAATGTACAGACAAAAAAACAGAAAAAAAAGATGCAAAAGAGGTCATTTTGTCAATTTTGATTAATAATAAATAATGCTTTTNAAAAATAAACAACCACACATTTTCATTACAGCACAGATATTTGTAGGTACTTCCAGTATGCAGACATGTTTCTATGAGGCAATGCCATGACACTACCTGTTAAAATTACCTTGCACAAATAAAGTCATGGACCTCTGATCACTCCCTGCAATGTTATTGGCTGAACAAGAATAGCTGCTGGTGTCTTTGGGATCCGCACTGAAGATTTCCAAGTTGCCAGACTCGCTGATGAAATAGTGGGAATCTGTGACAGGAATTTTTACACCATTTTTAAACCACTCCAAAGACGGAGGTGGGTCTCCCTGCACTTCGCAATGCAACACTATGCGGTTCCCTTGTACCACCACATACTCATTGCCATAACTCTTGTCTATGACTGGGGGAACTGGAAAAAAGTTAAACTGTATTGGTGAAAGTTTGAAATAAAAAAGTCAAAAAGATGCATCTGTAAATTGATAATTCAGACTATTTTGAAATTTTTCAAAACAACAACCTTTATAAATGTATACTGAATATATCAAGAAGTATGCATTTATGAAAGAAATGAAGAAATGTCACGTGACTAACCTCCTGATTCTTTAAAATATTTACACAAAAAGACTATTTTACATATCTAGCAACTAAACATCATATTTCTATATCTATCTTTACCTTGCACATCCAACTGTGTTATGTAAGTCGAGTTTCCACCCACGTTGCTTGCATGACACTTAAAATCTCCTTCGTCCACCGCTCTCACACTTTCAATATGGAGGCTCCCCTCACTGTCTATCCTAAAGCCATTTCCTTCTTCGATCACCTGGTCACCTTTCAGCCAACTTATCTTTGGTTTGGGGTTACCAAGGAGAATAAAACAGGTAAGCCGTACTGGACGTCCTTCAATGATCTGAACAAGGGGGTTGGTGAAAGCAATCAGGGGACGTACTGAAATTTCAAAAAAATTGTTACATATATATAAATGAAAGTGTGTATCAAACACAAATGCATTCCTGATGTCTTACAAAGCTTCAGAAAGATGTCATGCTGGTACGTGTTGAAAATTTTGTGATCTTAAGATGTGAGGTGTAGCCTGAAGTAAAGGGACTACATATACAACTTTCATTTAAAATCTTATCTTAACACATAACTACAGCATTATAGCAATTATACTTATGGTTAACAAGTTATTCATCATCATGCAACAATTATGGGATTAAGGAAACGCCTACCAATGCCAGAGACTGTGACATATGCCGACACTTCCTGAACTCCAAACTGGTTCTGTGCACTACAGACATATGCTCCCTCATCTGATGCCTGGATGTCTGCATAAAAATAGGGAATGTGATTGAAATTTAATAAATAAAACATTCAGATATTTCTAATGTACTATTTACATGAAAAAAGTGAATATTTCAGCAATTGCAAGTTACACACAGTAGAAATCTCTGTATCTCTTTTTAAAAGAAGTGTATAAACTAAACGTGCTATGAAAACCCACCAGGTCTAAAGTACAAAACCTCAAACTGACAAAAAACAAGTTCTTTATATCTTGTTAAACTACATGTCAAACTGCAGCAGGAGAAAACTTACTCTGTATGAAAAGTGAACCAGATGGCATCTGTCTAAATCTCCCATTCCAGTCAATGGGTAGACCGTCCTCCCTCCTCCACAGTATTTTAGGGGGTGGGTACCCGGTGGCCTTACATGGGAGGGTACCATTGGTCTCAATGTCTATACCAACACTGCTTGGAGCACGAGTTATCTTTGGCTGGGCTGTAAGTAAAATATGTGATTTTCATCTCTACCTAAGAACATAATGTCAAACAATAACCCCTCTATTTTCTGTTAATGGAAAATATCTAAAACAATGCATGCCTGCAACAAAAAATTTAATATTCTCATATCAACATTACTGAGTATCAATCCATAATCTAGAAAAGATATGTCCAATCTAGACACTGATGTATATTCATCCCAGTGAGACCTACTAACATCCCAGTGTGACCTACTAGCATCCCAGTGTGACCTACTAACTTCCCAGTGTGACCTACTAGCATCCCAGTGTGACCTACTTACATCCCACTTCCAGTGTGACCAGTCCTCTTGCTGTCCCGGCCTCATTGGTTGCCACACAGGTGTACTCCCCAGCATCATATTCCTGCACCCCGAGCAACATCAAGTCTCCACTGTCCATGATCTCAACAAAGGCAAACTCATGGAACTAAAACAGGTTGTAAAATAAACATATGAAAAGACCTAAGACTGGCACCAAAGAGAAAATTACTCAGTGCACACCAGGGAGTAAGTAATACAACGACAAGTGAGTATACAAAAGATAGTGACAAAAGTTTCAGTTTCACATTCTTCTAAAACATTTAAACCAAAAATGTTGCACTCTTCAGATCAGGATAAGTTGGCAGTTGTCCGCTTTAACAGAGTTATTAAGCTCTGGCCAAAGTTTTAAGTTTCTCTCTAAATATAAAACAGGCTCAGTATTTCATCAAATTGGAATAACTTTTGAATAGCAGACTTAAATTTTGTTAAAAAGTTTGGACCAAATTTCAGTCTAAAATTCTCTTAGGAAACTGGCCACAGGTGTGGTGCTCACCTGTATGCCTTCCTTGAACCAGGTAATATTAGGTTTGGGAATACCATGGACATCACAGGACAACTTGGCAGACTCCTTGATGGACACAAGCACCACTGGACTGGGTACCTGGACGATTGGCGCCTCTGGAAATAGATGGAATAACAAATAAAACAAGTGAATTATGAAAAAAGTATTTTTATTTTAATAGTAACAGTGTTGTCATATAAAATAAGCACCCACAAATGCAATCAAATTTATCATAATATCAAAGACATTTTTTATAAATGGCACAAATTGTTTTTCATATTATAATAAACTTAATGCTCTGTAATTTCTATGTAAATTAACTATAAAATAGGTGCCACTAACCAATATATCTCAGTGTAGCAACAGCAGTATCTGAGCCTGCAGGATTTGATGCCAAGCATTCATACGCTCCTTCGTCATAAGGCTGCAGGTGCTTCAGTGACAAAATGCCTGTTGATCGGTCATAATTGACCTTCTCCGAGAGGGGAAGAACCTCCTGCTTCCTCCTCCATATATAGGACGCTGGAGAACCTTCCGAGGTACACTGGATACTGACGGCCTGGCCGGTTTTAAAGGGTTGTGATTCTGGGCGTACTCTAGCCACTGGTGCCACTAGACAAATAAATATTACCTTTAAAATTTCTGTGGTAACAACAATACATCTCTCAAATTCTCATCTTGAATTTTTAAGCTTATCTTATTTGTATTTTTGAACTGTATGCTTTATATAGTTTTCGATATCTCTAATATTTAAAAAAAGGTACAAATTAAGAATCAAATCTGTGATTGGGAAAACTGTATTTCAGTGAATCATGTCTCTTAAACAAAATACTTTACATTATACATGTGGCTGACCCTTACCTTGCACAATGAGATAAATCTTTTCTTCAGAATTTCCTCCTTCATTTGCTGCTCGGCATATGTAAGGACCTTCATCAGATTTTCTGACATTTCTGTAAAATTCACATCATCAGGGGCTGACTTATGAGGTATTGTTAAAATTATTTTATTACAAATGACAATAACAATAATGGCCATCAAACCAGACAATTAAGATACTGCCATAAATCATAAATCATATTTAAGAATATCTAACTGCAATCTTACTTGAAAACCACTCTGACCGATGTGTAGTGAATATGGTAATTTTTACATAATGAAAATTGTAAAAAAAAAAAAAAAAAAAAAAAAAACGAAGAATTTGTCACAACCTGTGTCAAATCAATTTGTAAAACTGACTGCTTTTCCTCCTATAAACAAACATTCTCAGCTACAGTTCATGTTTCATCAGCAGGGATCCACTCTTATGAATTATTTACTTGTCTGCATTCTGGACCACCAACTTACTTTCTGGCAGTATTCGTTAACATTGTTTTTATTTCAAAAGAATGTACAATCTTATTTCTTAAGGACTTCTATAATCTAAAATCACTTTTGTATTTTTTACCATGAAGTGCTCTGTATCATGTCTAAAAGACCCCATTTTTCCAAAACTTTCAGGCAATATTTGCCAAATGAATTAAAAAATTTATTGCAATTTCAACACTTTTTAAAACAAAACTATTGTGTGATCTGTTATTAGCATTAAATTGATCACAAAGTGTTTTCTAATCACATACTTTTACTAAATCACAAACATCAATTTTCAAACACCAAAACCATTCAAGCATGACAAACTTGTTTGTGTAATCATCAGCTTCACAGAATTTACAAGGTTACTGACTGTGTGATACCAGGTCAAACGAAACAATTTTTTTTTCTAAACCAACAAACATAATGTGTTGCCATCCTTACAGAATCTGCAGGGAACCATTCCTATGAATGATGTACTTGTCAGGGTCCTGGGTCACCAAGTTCTCTCTGGCAGTGTTGTACCAGGTCATGTTGAATTCCACTGTGCTGGAGGCCTCGCAGGTCAAAATGGCGTTGCGACCTGGGATGGTCGTCACATTGCTGGGGGCCGTCACATACGGTGGAGGGTCTATGAAAAACAAGAAGCATAATGAATTAGTTCTGGTTTTTATGCAGTTTCAAAGGTCTGAAGACAGAATTAGTTACAAAAGTTGATATGATATACAAAACATCAGGAAACAAAACAACAGAACTTCTTTCTACGTGAATCAAACAAAGTCTTTAATAATAATAATAATAATAATTAGTGT